TTATTTTATTTATTAGCCTGACCAGTATGGTACCTTGTCAACAATTTGTTTAATTTAATTCTGGTTCCATACTCTCTCTATTTGGATTGCTCAAACACTTCTTGAGTTTTCCCTATATTTGATCTTGACACGGGCAAGTTGAGATGGATGTGTTTCATAATTTATATACACAGAACATTCAACCATCCATGTCGTTAAGATGTTCTGCAGAAAAATTAACCTCCCCTTGTTGATTGCCATGTTACTGACATTGATTTGCATGTGTTTTCTGAATACCAAGTCAACTCAATCCCATGTATTTTGCAGGTAGTAGCAGAAACTATTAAATCTTGTTTAGACGATTTACCAGGTTATCCTCGAACACAAATTGGCTTCATATCTTTTGACAGCATGATACATTTTTATAATATGAAGGTAAGTGGTGCAATCTACTAGTTATTTTACAGGTTGTGTTGAAAATTTTTTTTGGTGAATAAGCTCTTGCTTTCTCTTGTGCCAGTCATCTTTAATGCAGCCTCAGATGATGGTTGTATCGGATTTAGATGACATATTTATTCCATTGCCAGACGATCTTCTCGTCAACTTGTCAGAATCTAGAAATGTGGTGGATGCATTCCTTGATAGCCTGCCCTCTATGTTCGAGGGCAACATGAATGTGGAATCAGCATTTGGTCCGGCTCTTAAAGCGGCATTCATAGTTATGGTGTGTTCATTTCTTTTATCCACACCATTGTTGTAAAGTTATTTTTAAGTAACATTTTGTCTTCACATATCAGTTGACTCACACTCTCCCTTGAATAAAAATATAGTTACTCTTTTTGAAAGTAACTTCATTCAAACAAAAATATTTGTTTTGAAATTTATATATAAGTAAATTTTTTAAAGGTAAGCCAAACATGGTAACTTTCGCTCTTTAGCTAGTCAATTGTCCATTTGTCATTGGAAAGTCTTTTTCCATTTTATCGCTTAGCACTAATTCACTTATTCTTCCCACTGCCAGAGTCAACTTGGTGGTAAACTGTTGATTTTCCAAAATACACTGCCATCATTGGGTGCTGGCCATCTGAGGCTACGTGGCGATGATATTCGTGTTTATGGAACAGACAAGGAACATGCATTAAGATTACCTGAAGATCCATTTTATAAACAAATGGCTGCTGATTTTACAAAGTATCAGATAGCTGTAAATGTATATGCATTCAGTGACAAGTACACAGATGTTGCATCCCTAGGTATGTTCCAATTTGAGTTATTTTTTCCCCTTTTAAAAAATTAAACCAGGAACCTAAAATGATAATATAAAATATCTAATAATTGTTTGTTATTATTTTGGATCTTTTATA